GGATTGGAGTTCGCTTCGATGGTGGACGCAGAGCCGTTGGGAGCTGAGAGGTCGACCATTCGACGCTGACCAGCTGGTGTCTGGTAGCTAGGTACGCGTGACGGTCCCGGAGGGTACCGACTCTCTTGATGTGAAGGATGCCGTGGGTTGGCCCATGGCGTGCTTTCTAGGAATTGTTCTTCTGCAGCTGCCTCGTCCGCTGTTGTCGTTCTGTTGTAGGTACGGAATGAGGGGGGCGGCACTGGAGCACGCGTTGCAATCTAACGCGCCGAATCAGCTGCTAGTTCTCTAGCAGATGCTTTCAGCCACTTACCTTCATTGCTCGAAGATCTTCGTCAATCTCGGTTGGTCGCGCGGCGCTGATATCTGGTGCTGCTGGGAACCCAACATACTTGGCGACACCTGAGAGAATGGAGACCTCGAGGTTGTATGCTGTTTGGTGTCTGATCTGGTCGGATCGCTTCTCAGGTAATCGCACCATGTATTCGGTCTCGTCGCAGCCAAGCTGACGTCGTCCGCGTTGTAGTTCGAACACTCGCTGGTTGCACTCTTCGAGAATGTCCTCACGGATGTGGCGCACAGTCTGGAAGTACTGGCTGTGCATCTGATGCCGCTCTGCTGCTGTGATTATTTCGAGGTTCTTCTGTTTGTATTCCAAAAGCCTTGTCTCGTATGCGATCTTGTCGGCGCGTCGATCGTCTACGCATTTGATCATAGCAACGTACTCGGGGTGGACGCAATTCGGCTGCTTGAGCATTTCGAGCTCTCGTTCGAGTTGGGCTATTTGTTCGTCGCATAGCCTGGTGACAGTTAGTAGTTGATCCTTCTGATCATGCCCTGAGTGAACGGCTTACTTCTCTCGGAAAAGCTTGAACTTCTTCTCAATCTTTGCAAGCTCATCGATCGCCTGCTTCTTCTTGGTGACCTCCTCATCGAGCACGGCGCTGTCTTCATCGTCGTGCTCGCCCTCAGCTTCAGCCTCGTGGGTTTCAGCGGCTGCGAACGGCTCGGCATAGGCATAGCTAGCGTCTTCCGTCTTCCGTTTCCCTCTTCTGCCGCCTTTTCTTGGTTTTGTGTGCTTCGCGACAGTAGCCATTTCGCTGACAGTCTGCGCGGCAATGTTGGCTTGTCGTTCCTCGAGCTCTAGCTCTTCGCGAGCCAGTGCCGATAGGTGCTCTTCGGCGTTCTCGAGCTCTTCGTCTGCGTCCATCTGCCCCTGCCTGTCTGCTGCGGCATCAGCCAGGCCATCGAGCGCCGAACCTTTCGCGTTTACGCTTCGTTTCCGTAATGGTTCCTCTTCACGCTCGTCCACTGGGCTTCCCTCGGCACTGCTGCGCTTTCTTTTCATGCCCACGTGTTCGAGATTTGCCGCTTCTGATGCTGCGATCAGCGAAAGTGAATGCAGAGGGTTTTCGGTTGTAGGTGCTTCGCCCATGGTGACATCGTCTGTAATTGCAGATGGTGTGGGCGGAGCGGATTCGTCGTGCTCGATGGTCTTGGAGTGCGCAAGCTTGCTTGGGGTTCTTGTGTGGATGGGCTCAGAGAGTAATGACGTCTCCGTCGCTGTGCGCGCGAACTTTCGAGGCGTGTTGTCTAGCCGCTCAGTCTCAGCCTCTGAATCATCCTCGTCCATGTCGGCTACTGCGGTTGGCCGTGGCGTTGATTCTGACTGATCGTCCGATGCGTCTCCGAGCTCGCTCAAACTGCTGGAGCCGTTGTCGGCAACATCATCGAAGCCATTAGGAGCTTGCTCCGTGGGTAACGACTCGGTGAGCACTGTAGTCGGAGCTGCCATGGTGGACAGCATCGCAGCAGCGATCGCGGTGGGGTCTTGGTCAGCTGGTGTGGGTATCTGCGCTGGCGCAGAGTGGTTGGAGGGAGAGGTGGTGGAGGTGGGGTCAGGTAATTCTGTGGTGAGGGTCGAAGTTGGACCTGGGAGGGGCTGTTAGATCTGGTGCAGGTTCGGACGGCGTGGGTAATAGACGCGGTGAGAGAGGCAAGTTCGCGACGCCGTCGTCGCCTCGGTCGTTGACGCAAAGATCGACAGTCTCTCGAGCGGCGACCCGAGGCGCAGTGCCGCGCTTGAGGAAGCCGAAAAAGCGCATCGGGGTCGGGATAGAAGAGGTGACAACGTACTTTGAGTGTGCGCGACGTCCTCGCTGGGGCCGGCAGCTGTTCTCGAGGTGCTCCGTCTGGTCTGTTCGGGCGCGCTCATAGTGCGCCCACGCCGAAGACAGCCTCACCTCGTGACCAATGTGGTAAAAATATGCCGTGGACGGTGTTCTGGGCCTTCGCGATGCGATATGGGCGTGCTTGGGGGTGGAGGATGCAGGGCCCGGCGAGCGGTCAAAAACAGAGCTGCAGGTGTGAGGGACGCGGGCGTTGAGGGAGCGTGTGGGGATGTCTCAGGCAGGAGCGGCCGGGTGGCAGGTCTGCGATGTTTGTACAGGTGTGGGTGCAAACGCGGGACAGCGACGGGCATGAGTGTGTGCGTGGTGAATGCGGAGGGCAGCTCGGTCGGGATGGTGTAGACTGCGCTCTGAAGCGGGTCGACGGCCGGGAGAGGCCCTGAGGCTTGCAAATGACCGCACTGCCCTGCCCCGGGCGGTGTCGTTCTGCCGCCTGCATCACCCAGCTGGGCCTAGCGCGCATCCGCCGTGAAGCGTCTCCACCAAAACTTTTTGACGAGCTTGCTGTCGCCAACACCAACATATCGATTGTCGCCATGGCCAAGTCAAAGGACAAACGCGCGGCTAAGACTGACACGCCCAAGAAGAGTCACAAGTCAGACAAGGCAGACAAGTCCCTCATCAAAGTCGACAAAAAGGCGTTTGACCCGGCGCTAGCATCGCTGTTTGCTGCCAGTGTACGTTGATCGCATGTCTGTGCTAGAGAGTGATTGCTAATGATCTTTAGGCGGGACCTGTGCAAGCGCCTTCAAAGTCACGGTACCAAGCGCGCGAACAAGCGAAAGCGACCAAAAAGTCCAGCGAAGATGAAGACGAAGGCGATGCGAACGATGCGGAACTGAGCTCGGCTTCCGAAAGCTTGCCCTCTGACGATGAGGATGAAGATGAAGACGAAGATGAGGACATGTCGGATGCCAGCGACGACTCTGAATCCGAGGACGAGGCCGCGCTAGCAAAATTGGGCGAAGCTGTGCTGCACGGCGCAAAGGAAAAGCCAAAGAAGCGCAAGCGGGGCGACAAGGAGGAGATTGAGGATGCATATATGCGCAAAGTAGCGCGAGAGGAGGAGAAGGAGGAGGAGCAAAGACAGAAGAAGCGCAAGACCGAGGAAGAGGAAGACGAGGATTCTTCAGACGAGGACGACGAGGACGAGTCTTCGGATGAGGCAGATGAGGGCAAAGAGATCAAGGATGCGGACAAGGCCGAAGAAATTACAATTCCCAAGCATGAGTCGCTTATGGAGAAGACCGACGAGAGCGCATCCGAGGTGGAGAAGGCATCGCGCACTGTCTTCCTGAGCAACGTCTCGGTTGAGTGCATAAGCTCAAAGCCCGCCGAAAAGGCTCTCAAGAAGCACTTGGAGTCCTTCATACCCGACCTCGCCGATAACAAGCCCCCGCACAAGATCGAGTCGATACGTTTCCGATCAACGGCCCTCGATCCCTCCCTACCCAAGCGCGCTGCCTTTGCAACCAAGGACATCATAGACGCGACTACCAAGAGCACCAACGCATATGTTGTTTACACGACCAAGGTAGCCGCAAGAGAAGCTGTCAAGAAACTCAACGGCTCTATGCTGCTCAACCGCCATCTCCATGTCGATTCACTAGCCCATCCCATGAAGGTCGACCACCGCCGCTGTGTCTTTGTCGGCAACCTTCCCTTCGTAGACGAAGAGTCCCAAACACCCGTCACAGAAGGCGAGAAGCCCAAGAAGAAGAAGCCCGCCTCTGATATCGAAGAGGGTCTCTGGGTACACTTTGGCAAATGCGGCAAAATCGAGAGCGTGCGCGTAGTCCGCGATGCCAAGACAAGAGTCGGAAAGGGTTTCGCCTACGTCCAGTTCGTAGATGAGAACGGCGTCGAAGCCGCGCTGCAACTCAACGAAAAGATGTACCCACCTATGCTCCCTCGCAAACTCCGTGTTACACGTTGTAAAGCGGAGAAGAAGAACAAAGAGAAGCCGAGAGGCCCACCGCCATCCAAGGCACCCAGGCCGGGCGGCAACCCTGGTGCCGGTTACAAGCAGAAGTTGACTGAGGAGCAAAAGTCGATGCAAGGACGTGCTAGATCGATGCTGGGCAAGGTCGCCAAGGCACAAACCAAAGAGGGCTTCGTGTTTGAAGGCCACAGGGCGAGTGAGAGGCAGGGCAAGAGTGGGCTCAAGTTCAAGGGCAGCGGCGGCCAAAAGAAGGGTACCAATGGACGCAAGAGCAGAAGTGCGGGATGGAAAAAGAACGGCAGCAAAAAATAGGCTGGCCTGCGTTGAGCATTCATTCTACTATTCACGAGGTTCTGCCTACGAGCATCGGAGCTGTCTGGTCCAGACAGCTACCGTCGTGTTCAATCGATACATTACATGCGCATTTTTACCTCGGAGCTCGCGTGCCTCAACCTAACATGCGGATCTGCTACTAGCGAAGATGCTAACACGGAGCTTGGGAAGATACTAATATAGGTGTCACGAAGTTGGGGTGTGAAGATGTTCAGCTGAGCATACGTTGGCTTGAAAAGATGCTAAGCTAAGCATACGCTGGCTGACGAAGATACTGGTATTGAGTTCGCGAAGCTTGCGCGTATGACATTTGAACTAGTAACTAATCTGACACGACCGGAGCGAATCGCGAGTTGTATAAATGCGGGCATAGCCACCTAAAGAACAGGCGCACATGAGACCATGACGTTTTCCGAAGGCAATACCTGAAGGCTCTTTCGCATCTCAATGGGGGAGGAGATGACGTAACCGCACTTAAAGTGCGAACTCTACCTGAGCTTTGTTATCGTACGGCCCGAATTTCCGACCGTCATACGTTACGACCAATATCGCTTGGAATCCTCTGATGATACACTCGTCTCTACCGGGACTTCCACCACATACATCTTATCAGTGTTCCACAAGGCACTGATAGCCTCGGCGGTCTCCTCCATGTTGCTCAGAAATTCCGCATATGACTCATCCTCGTCCTCGTCCGCAGACGGCGAATCACTGTCCCTGTCAAGGAGTTCTCCGAACGATAGAGCTTCAGTGCATTCATTTGCTGGCATTGACTCAAACGGCGATTCATCTCGCAGCGCGGCTGTTCGTTTGACGACGTCGTCGGAGTTCCCCTTTCTTCCGCGTCCTTCCATCTCATCTGTCGTATCGAGAGTGAACTGCCTGTTCAGGTTCTCGATATCTTCCAAAACGTGTCTGTAGTGGTTGCTGTGGCCCGCAGACGGCGAATGACTGTCCGCGTCGAGAATGTCTCGCAGCCACTGTCATCTGGTCAGTACATCTCTCTCGGCACCGGATTGATCGTAATCATTTCTGCGAACTTACGGACGCTCGTTTGCCATAGTATTTGGGTGCCTGCGATGAGTAAGTAAGTTTTGGTGCTGGTGAGGATATGTCCTAGCACTGACCCTACTAAGACCCTTTGTCGCCCAACCATAGTGAAGCATGAATTCCAAGGAATCATCTGGGATCTTCATGATGCCGCATGTGTATGCACAACTAATCGCACTATCCCACTCAGCAGGATCTTCGTCTTCTTCGGCGACACCATCGAAACAATATCTGATACACTACACCGTGTCAGACTTTGGATGTTACGGACAAATACAGCCCAGCCTCACCTGGCGGGCAGTCTTCTCGCGGAGTACTTCGATGTTGGGTTGGGCTTTCGGAACTTCGATGTCGGGAGTTTGCTGTGAGTCGGGTGCCTGTGCAGTGACTGCAATAGCAGTGCACAAGACAACACCGAGGATATTGGTGGGGAGCTTCATGTTGAGGGAGATGATTTCTGAAGGTTCGGGGCTGGTTGCGTATTTAAATAGATTTGGTCCCTTTTGAAGGGCCTGTGTGAGATTGCTTCAGTGCCGAGCGCGTTGAGGGGGTGTAGTCCCTGAACCCTTGAGTGATGGCTTGATCCATTGAACTCCATACCCTATCCAATGAACCATCATCAAAACGCTCAACATCTCGAAGACGCGCGTCTCTAATCAGCGACCAGACGATGGCCATGTGTCAAAGAAGAACACCGTATGGAGAAGAGTAAGCGTCGTGAGCTAAGACAGTTATGTGGTTTCTTCTAGGTTGGTCATCGAGATTGCACTTTGGTGAGTGGGAGGATCTCATTCTAGAGTCGCTGAACATCTCGTTAGAAAGCTACAATAGTCATGCGCATCAGTACACCGAAACGTTCGATTTGCAACGCAAACCACATCCCTCTCAACACCCCAGACGCTTCAAATGCTCCGGAAGATCCATAATCTCACGCGGATGATCCTTCATAAACCTATCTGCCACACGCTCACAATCCTTCGCCTGCAACACAAACATCGCTCGCCAAGTCTCAGTGGGCTGTTCAGCATACTACACCATCGTCAGCATACCTAGGTACCTGAACCACACCCACGGAATGCTCAGACGTTTATCCTGGTCCTACTCACGTTCGGATCTTCCTTGCATGCCTTCAAGCAGCGGATGTAATTCCAGTCTCCCTTTCCGCCTCGGTGAACCTTGTACTTGAGGGTGTCCATGCAGTACTTGTAGCACTAGGTTTTGTTAGGCAATTTTCTCATGCAGGGAGGAGTGAATCTTTACCTGTTTGAGGGGTGTGATGGGTTCGAGATCTGCGAGAGGGATAGTGTCGGGATTTTGACGCAGCTGGGATTCTGACAGGTGTACGGAGGCTGCGGCGGCGGCGGCGCACAGGGCTAGGCGGAGGATGTTGACGCAGAGCTTCATGGTGGCGTGGATGTATGCTGGTTATATGAGCTGAGGAGTCTCAAGTTGGGTGTTGGAAGTATTTAAAGCAATAATTGCATAAGGTCTGTGGCATGATTTTGCGGTTTGCGAACCCATGGTTGATAATTCGGTACTACCAGAATCACTAATGTCCAATCCCCTGTCTACGTATTGCTGCGATCTGACCACTGTTTTGGGGGCACGAAAAGGGCACATTAACAAGATGTATTGCTGCCATGTACGAAGATCGTTAGCACAAAGCTCCAACAAAGCTGCAACCTCCCTTCATCCTCACGCATGACCAGCACGCCCGACGCCCTTTAAAACCCTCATGGCCTACTAACAGGCCCCTGATAAGCCTTCCTCAACACCTTCTCCTCCTCATCCATAATCCTCCTCTGGATCTTATTCCGCAATATCTCAATTTGACGATCATACTCCCAACGCGGCGTATCCGCACCCCTCATACCAATAAATCTTGCAAACATCCTCATCTTGATCTTTAGCCGTTCCAGTTCGCCTAATTTACAGTTCTCTGGCAAGGTGTCGCTGGCATCTAAGAATGGCTGTTGCCAGTTCATTGTCTGTGGGTATTGGTTGGTGAGGTCTGTTGAGTGGGTTTGAGAATAGTATGCGGCTAGCGCGTCGAGTTGCGCTTCGGTGAGGAGGAAAAGATCGAGCATTGTAGAGGGGAACTCGGGTGCTGGTATCCCTGTCTCCACGTGCACTATGGGGGCGATGGTGAGGCGCATTTCAGCGATTTTATTTGCGAGTGCTGGGTTGCGGTTCCATGGTGACATCTTTCTTGCTATTCGCCTTTGCACAATGCTCGATGTAGGACTTATTGCTTTGTTGATTCCGTTTGTATCGCTCATGCGTCGGTTAGGCATATGTTCGTTTGGTAAAGAGATTCTGATCAGGTAAGGGCTTGCTGAATGGAGAAAGTTTGCTGCGGGAGGACGTGTGCGACGATATTTGGTATGAACCAGCCGGAAGTGTGTAGCATGCAGGGTTGAGGAGTCGCCGTAGTATATAAAGGCGACACAAACGGGCGTGGCGGCTGTCAGAAGAATGGGTTTTGTTGGAGCTTTGCTCTTTGTTAAGACACCGCCGCTCAAGACTTGCTCTTCTGACTCCCAGTATCTCGTGAAGAGTAGAACCTTTGTCTTTTTTCCCAGTCACGTGTTCATTGTCTTCGTGGGTGATTGAAGGTTGCTGCTGCACAATGTCGCGCATTCCATAGTGGCGACGACAGTAGCTGATGAAGGCGGGGGGCTGATCACCCTTGTTGAGGATGCGGTGGCGTGTTGGCTGACATTGTGATGCGTTGGCAGATCTTTCATGATCTGAACGCCGCTGTACAGCTTGGTTTCAGATGCAGTCAACGGTGAATTTGTCATAATTCTTCGTTTCCGAAAGCTGTGGTTCTGTCAATCAAAACGAAGGTCTTTGGATGCATAAGGTATCTGGAGGCAGATAGCGATAGCGACACAATGTCTCAAGCATCGATAATGGCTTGAAGAGACACATCGTTCTCAGCGCCACCAACTGGCTCGGTACTTTTCCAGAACTTGCTCAAGTGCCTTGCGCCACTGTGAAGGAGTCAGTATATGCTCAGATCCTTGAGACATTGTCCTACCTGTCGCATAGAATGGTGACGATGCGGTGTCCAGGACCAAGTGTCTTTGCAAGTTTCGTGGCAGCGACGCCTTCAATAAGTCAGTGCTGCCTGCTGTTGAACGCTTCACAACTTACAGTTCACAGCACTAGAGCTTCCAACAAAGATGCCATCGTGCTCAACCAACCAACGCGCCATGGAAATTGCTTGGTCATCGTTCACCCTAATGGCGTCGTCGATCAGCTCCCGACCAACGTCGAAGTTGTGAGTCACTCTGTTGATGCCGATCCCTTCAACGATTGTGTCCACTTGGTGTCGCCGCCGCGTTCCTTCTCTTTCCTTGGGGTCGAACATAACACCGTACTTGACGCGGTTGAACAAGCCGCTGCCAGGGGGATCCGCAAGGACGACCCTGATGTCGGGTAATTTGGACTTTAGGAATAACGCTACTCCAGAGATAGTTCCTCCAGTGCCAGCGCCGCTAACGAAAGCATCCACATGACGCCCAGTTTGCTCATAGATCTCAGGTCCCGTGCCAGTGAAGTGTGCGCGCCAGTTGGCTTCCGTTTCGAACTGATCGGCGAACAGTCCCCTCCCAGTCTTTTCGGAACTTGCAGTGTGCTCTTCTGCTCGCGATCGTGCGAGGTTGACAAATTGTTTCTGGTCCACGATAGGCGCTGGGCGCACTCTTTCCACTTCGGCACCAAGCTTCAGGAGAAGATCTGACTTCTCGATTGCCATGTCGTTTGGCATGCAGCTTCGCTTGTCAGCCAGCACACTCCTGTCTCAGATGACAACTTACATGTGAGCTTTGTAGCCTCTTGCTCTGCAAATGGCGGCTAATGATATGCCAGTGCTCCCCACAGTGCCTTCGTAGATGGTGTCACCAGAGTGTGGGATTAAAAGACCCCTCTCTTCAGCCTGTTGTGAAAGTCAGTAAACATGGGTGAAATAAGCGCGATACGGAGTAGATCTTTTTCTTACCATCTCGATGATGCTTAGAGCGACTCTGTCTTTCGGACTGTTGCCGGCTCCGTTGAGAAACTGTTGCTCACGTTAGCGAACGTTCGAGTCAATTTCCTGTAAGTTTTCTACCTCAGCTTTTGCAAGTATGTCACATCCCGTGAATTCCGAAAGTGACTTGATTTTGATGAGGGGCGTGTCGCCTATGCATCCTTCGATGCCCTCCTTGATGTTGACTGCGCCGTGTCCACCACCGAACTCCAGTAAACTCTTCTTCAACGTTTCCAAGTCATTAATTTTTGCGAGTTGCGATAGCCATTTTTGCTGCTGTGCCAGAAGTTGATCTGCATTATCTATTCCTTCTATCGTCCTCTTTTTGTTGTATGCAGTCGTCAGAGCAATGCCTAGCAGGAAAGCGCCCAAGAAATAATACTTGGAGCGATCCGACATTTTGAAAAAGTTTGGGAGTTGTGGCGTGCAGTTTGCAAAGTTGACGCAATCGGAGCTGGTGGTATCCCCGTCTTGGCGCGGCTGCCCGCAAAGCTCACCACGTGCATTCGCGCGGAGAAGACCACAGCCACCACTGCTGTCGCGACGCATTCGTGACAATTGTCCCTGGCGCCAATGGATTCGCCGCTCGCCACGCAACTCTTCCGCCAGCTATTCTCATATCGAGCGTCGCAATGCCTTGCCCGCGGAGCTCGGCCAGCGCTCGCAGGCGCCCGCATACCGCACCACCAGAGACGAGGCAAGGCCACACGGTTGGGTGAGGGAGAAACGAAGCGGGAGAGCAGATGGACGCCGAGGAAGAATGCATTCCCTCACGAGAGGACGGAAGAGTTCGAGAGATACCCAATGGTCACAGCGGACATGTTGCGGAGTAGGAGAGAAAGACCGCGCAGAGTCAAGATGTTGTTGCGCGACTTTATAGAAGGTTGGGACTCTTACATGTGATGTAGTACTATACTAATGGATTCAAAGACAGCTTATACAACCCCAATTACGGCTACTTCTCCAAGCAAGTCGTCATCTTCTCGCCTGGCGATCCATTCGACTTCAACTCCATGGGCTCTGAGCACGAATTCTTCCAGCAGCTGCGGCACCGCTACACCGCTTTCGAAGACGATCTCGATTACCAAGAACCAAACGACCTGCGCCAGCTTTGGCATACGCCGACCGAACTCTTCTCACCCTACTATGGAGAAGCAATCGCACGCTATCTAGTAGAGGACTACAAGTACAACTTCTACCCATACCATGATCTGAACATATATGAAATGGGCGCGGGTAACGGTACAATGATGTTGAACATTCTCGACTTCATAAGAGACGTGCACCCGGACGTGTACGAGCGAACCAAGTTCAAGATCATCGAGATCTCCAGTCAATTGGCCGACCTACAACAGAAGGGTCTTGGACACTCAGCATATGCGCGAGGTCACTCGGACAAAGTGGAAATCATCAATCGCAGCGTCTTTGACTGGAACATCTACGTCTCCTCTCCCTGCTATTTCCTCGCATTGGAAGTCTTCGACAACTTCGCACACGATGCCCTAAAGTACGACTTCGAGACCGGCCTCCCATATCAATCCCACGTCGTCATAGATCCTCGTGGAGAGCTCTTCGAATACTACTCGCGCACCATAGACCCCCTCGTCACCCAATTCCTCGAGCGCAGACACGCTGCTTGTACCACATACCCACATCCGCTGCAAGGCTCGCGACTCATGAACAACCTGAAGAGCTTGGTACCGTTCCGCTCCAACATGAGCATGCCAGAGTACATCCCGACGCGGCTGATGCAGTTCTTTTACATGCTGTACGAAAAGTTTCCAAACCACAAGTTGATCAGTAGCGATTTCCACAAGCTGGGCGATGCGGTCGAAGGTATCAATGCGCCTGTTGTGCAAACGAGGTATAAGAGGCAGATGATTCCTGTTTCGACACCTCTCGTAAGTTTATCACCATTTTGTTACAAGGTAGCCACTAATACATCCCAGGTGCACCAAGGCTACTTTGACATACTCTTCCCCACTGACTTCGAAGTCATGGAACCAATGTACACATCGATAACCGGACGCTTCGCACGAACATACCTACACGAAGATTTCATGGCCGGCAGAGCAGACATAGCGGAGACAACGACGAAGAATGGTGACAACCCTTTGCTGAGCTGGTACAAGAACGCCAGTGTCATGATCACTGTGTAGAACAACTTGAAGATACCAATATGAATTGGCAGCTACTCGGGCTCCTGTCCCTTCCATGTCTCCTTGACAGCGCTTACATCCATCTCACATACCTCAGCATGTCTCAGTATCGCATGCGCCTTCTTCACAACCGGCGCATCGATCATCTTGCCATCCAATGTCCAAGCCCCTCGTCCAGCTTTGCTTGCCTTCTCATCCGCTATGACTAC